TACCAAAAAAGGGAAAGTTCTGAAATGTCAAACTTTAGAGGTTTCCCTTCTTAATAAAGCATACAAAATTGTGTCCCTGATACTTAAACGAACGATGGCGGACCACCATACTGACTCAACTATATATGGTTATACTAAACGGAGCTCTTGAAAACAAATCGTACAAATGTGCGCGTACTGTTATGTTGTCAAAAACCATTAAAAAACAAACAAAGGACCACTGCGCCAGTGCGAGATGTGCTATCGGGATACGCTATTCAACTTAGCGCTTCCTAGAAAATAAGTTTCAGGAGTGATCTCGTGGTAAATAAATTAAAACGGTACGATATATATACCCCGGAGTATACAATAATAATGGCATTTCGCTGATGATAGATCGTCATAATGCGCAAGAATTCTAAATGATTAGCAGTGGAGGACCCTTTCACATCGTTACTCATAAAGCGCAGAGAAAACATTAGGACTTTAATTAACATCCTGAAACTAAATTAGACGGCAATATACAAGAACTTCAAACAAAATTTATCTTAGGGGTGCAACACGAAAACGAATTAGTAATCAGGTAGTAAGAATTATGATGATTAGGATCATGGTACACTTAAAAAGTACAAAACATCCAAAGAGAACTAAACCAAAGAATATTGCGTCGGGCTAACCGCTGTATGATTTTGGCCCTGGGCTCCCTCAACTTTAAGGCGAGATAGTATGTACAATAAAATAGCACACAAGTGCAAACTTTATAAAACTATAATACCCCCTAGTGCTCCAAATACGGTTCGGTAACCATGGGCATGACGACCCGAGAAGAAGAGTCTTTAATAAGAATAATTATTGAGGACAAATATATGGCCGGTGTAAACGAGAAGGTCTGTGGAGGGCGATGGAAGGACTTAATTTGAACTCTCTAGACTTCTTTGGTGATGCTGATATTGTTGAAGACCATCTAAATACAATCAAACGTTCAAGGGGGAGTGGGCCACGTTATGGGATGGCATAAGAGTGATCCCAACTAAAATAACTATGATAAACAGGCGGTCGGAAAAGAAGAAAGGGGAGAGCGCACGTGCGACCTTAAACCTCAGATATCTGGAACCGTTGTACACGGAAGATCTGAGCGGACGATTGGCAACACAAAAAACCAAGTGAAGGGGCTGCCGTGAAGGCCAGACACTCGATAGGGAAGGATCGGAAGGAAGGTTTTTGAGCTGGCCTAGCGCTCTACGAAGGGAGGCTAGCGCCCATGATGTTGATGAAAGAATCTACTTAAATGCGATATACCCAGAAACTACTTTACACACGCCTTTTATAAACGGACACTCTAGTACCTAACTGCAAGACGCACAAAGTGTCTCGCTCAGGCTCTAAGTATATGTTCTTGCGTATAATCTTGATAACGGTCAGTCTTGGTCTTGGTCCTTGGTCTTGCATAAATTTAGGAGGTGGGTGGTCTTGGTCTTGCTGAAAAACGCTAAGAAACAATTGATAAATCATGAAGCAACCTAAGACTAATATTTTGGGCAACCACTACTTTTGAAACAGAGACCCTGTTACTAGCCACATACGCATGCGGCTCACTTTGGACAGGCAGAGACTTGAGAGTAATTGAAGAATTGAAGAAGAGTACAGGAAATATGCTAGACGAGATCGAAAGAGAAATAAAAGTCACTTAGACACTAAATGTACAGTACAGTGTAACATCTAAATGAACAAAACAAATTAGAAAAAAAAAAATGGAATAATCCTCATAGAAGATTGGAGAGTTTAGATAAGATGGTGCGTTAACATTGCATGTGATAGTTTACCAATCGGGCAGAACGAGAGCAATCGGAACTCGAATTACCCGTACGCATAACCGATGTTCAGTGACAACCCTTCTATAGATGTTAGTTAAATCGCCAATGAACAAGCAGAATTGCTACTAGATGATTTAAGCTAAAATAGTAAGGACAAGATTTCTTAATTAATGTTAAGTAATTGTAAATTTGAAAGCGACAACGTATGACAGAAAAAACTGTTTCATATATCAAGACTATTAAATTTGTTCCTGACACTATTAATAGAACAGTCAGTGTCCGAACCTGGTCCTGATGTTCCCTTTTACTCGAATATAAAATGTTTGCAGGATAAGGTCTTGAAAAAATACAATACTAAAAATGGTCTTATTTTTCTTGGTGACTATATGTTGTAAGATACTCTTATGTTATAAGTTGTCTGGAATTGCGATGTATTAAATTGGTTAAAAATTATTGTATATATATGCGAAAATAAAATAAACAGTCTATTTAAATTTAATAGTTCTGTACTATCCTTTTTAAAACTACCTAAAAAAATTCAATATTCTGTACTTAAAAATAAAAACAATTTCCCATAATCTGACGCGTTAAGTTTACGCAAATAATTTCAGATATACAATTGCCGATATTTTAATAGGCCACCTATCTATTAATATTATGTCCTTAGATGCTCGATGAGTTGTTATAGATTAAAGACTACAATAAAGAGAACTTTATACTATCATTATAAATATATACTTACTTTGTATAAATGAAAGACAAAAACAGTTTATCTCACCCTAAACCCTAACATCATTAGCCTCTCCGCAACACCAAACCTTCGAGCTAATATTAAAAAGTTTGGAGCCCATATCGGATCAGAAATCCAGGCCGAGAGCCAGCGGTGATTTTATCTGCGAACACTACAATGCCACTCGTTGACATTTGTACACTTATGAACAGTTTTCGTACGGACCAGCGTCTTTGTTTTAGCGGGATAACCGCTGGATTTAGTGAGGTCTTTGATAGGTTGACGAGGACGATACGACTATCTCCCGTATCCATGGCCCTCCCCTAAGTTGTGCAGAAAGAATAATCCAAACGCCACAATTCATTCAAGTTAATGTTTAAAAGTGATCGGTTATAATAAATCGATTTCTAGGCGTTAATTCAGAATGGTTACTCAGGCGTAATAAATAGAGTGGATTATCACCCCTATTTTTTTACATAGTGTTCGTATTATCGCGCTGCATGCGAAGCTCACTATAATTTGACCTAATACATACTATCTAATATTACATCTAGCTCTCGGTGATCAGGTATTTGTGCTATGCGATGCTAATATACAGACATTGGAAACGTATATTTTAAACTGATAATTATATCAATTGTATATATATGTCTGTATTGATGCATCTATGAAATAAGTGGACCACTATAAATTGGTCTAGAAAATAAATTTCCATACCTGGGTTATAGACATTGTGTAATTAATTATCGTTAATATCATGTCTCGCAACAATGTTGTTTGGTAACAATGTTGACCATATCGCACGTGTTCTTATTCGTCTTATGTGCGGTTTATTTCTGAGAAGTTATAATACTTCTTCGTTCTTTAAATATATGGATATGTGCTCATATTTTTCATTCTTGATATTTACAAATCTTCTACAACCAGACTAAAA